GTTCGGCCAGGCACATCAGGAAATAAGTGAGAGAACTCATGAATCAAATCTGACATTTGAACTTTCTGCTCAGGGGATACATGTGATAGTTTCTCATCAAGGTGAGCTAACACATCAGAATTTCTTAACCTTGGTGAACCACATTATCACTAAGGTCATCAAACTTCACATTGCTAACACCATCATCAATATTGTCAGCATGTTCACCTCTGTCAGTAACTGGAGAGAGTGTGTCAATACAATTGACCTGTTTGGTTTCTAACCTGTCATGGTCTTTTCTTAATCATGTTGACATGACACAACCTCTTTTGTTTACGATGGCCAGGCGTCAGGACGACATAGTCTGTGTCGCTAACCTTTTGTCAACAACATATGGACCTGATATCTAGCTCTCAGAGGTTGACCAGGAATGGGAAGTAAGACTAACACTTTCTCACCATGATTGAAATTTCTCTCTTTTGACTTTCTGTCATAGTTTTGTTTCATTTTTCAATTTTGTCTGGACAACTCACATGCTTTTGAAAGACTGTTCCTAAATGTAGACACATAGTCCAAATGATTGATCTCAGGATTTTGATTGAGCCATTGTTCTTTTAGATGTCTGAGATGCCCGCTCACACTATGACCAAATACAAGCTCAAAGGGGTTAACCCTAAACTTTCCTGAACTGACACTCTGACAGTAAACAACAACAAATGCACACCCTCATCCCAATCTTTCTGTCTCAAAACAATAAGTCTTGATCACATTCTTCAAAGTTTGATGAAACCTCTCTAAACCTCCCTGTGACTCTGGATGGTAAGCACTAGACTTAACTTGCTTAATACCCAACTGGTACATAGATTGTTGAAACACTTTAGACATAAAATTTGAGCCCTGGTCAGACTGAACAACATCTGGCAAACCAACTAAGGTGAAAAACTTGATCAAAGCCTTGACAATCACAGGAGCAACAATCCTATGAAGTGGAATTGCTTCAGGAAATCTGGTAGAAGCACATATGACAGTGAGAAGATACTGTTTACCAGACTTAGTCTTAGGTACTGGACCAACACAATCAAAAATAACTCTACGGAAAGGTTCCCTAAAAAGACGGTATAGGTTTTATGGAGCGGTAGGAATTTTCTGATTTGGTTTTCCAACAATTTGGCATGCATGACAGGTTTTGCAAAATTCTGCCACATCTTGTCTCAAACTAGGACAAAAGAAATGTGCCAAAATATTCTCACAAGTTTTGTTTACCTGCCATGGGACTTTCATGTGCTAATGAAAGTACATGCTTTCGAAATAATTTTGGTACCACAATTTGATGATACAATTTCCATTCACCATCCGTGGGAATGTCCGGCGACCTATATTTCCTCATCAGAACACCATCCTTGAAGTAACAACAAACTGGAACCTTGCTAACCTCCTCAAAAGAAACAGCCTTACCAGCCAACTTCTGCAATTCAACATCCTCGCCCTGCACACTAATAAGCTGCTCTCTGGAAAGAATGTGATGACCATCTGACAAACTATCAGACTTATCAAGAACACCTGAAGAGTTACTACTCTTTGATGATAAGTCACCAGCCTCTGCCTCATGAAAAGAAAGTACCTGACAAATCATAAATGGAATCATTCAGCAAAGAAGTCTTGGAAGACATGCCTTTCGATATTGAATGATTCACTGCACAAGAAGGAAAATGCCCGGGAATTCATCTTCCAACTTTTCTGAACTAACTGAACTCTCCGGAGAAACAGTGGCAATGGGATCAGCACCAACTTTTGCCCCAATAAGATCATTACCAATCAACAAATCGACACCTGTAACTGGGAGAGAGTCAAGAACATCAACTTTCACCTCACCAGAAATCAGATCTGAAGTCAAATTCACAAAATGGAGAGGAGCAGAAGAACTGCCACCTATACCCTGAAGCAAAACATCTGAGTTCGTGAAGACTCATCAGAAAAAGGCAAAATATCCTTCAAAATCAGAGAAGAGCTCCAGTAACCCTCAAGATAATAACAGGCCGTGGGGTAGAATTATCTCCCATAAGCAACACAGAACCCTTAGAAACAAAGGGCAAATACTCCTTCCGAACTACAGAATCTGGGGACTTACTCTAACAAAGAAAACTCTCCTCAGAACCACCTGGAAAGAAAGTGCGATAGACACAAAAGCATTTAGGGAACCTGCAGCCTGAAACTGGAGTTTGTAACATGCAGAAATCAATTGACCTGGCTTCTTACAATATGCACAAACAGGATCAGAACCACTGGAAGTCTTAGGCTTAGACTGAAATGAATGTGACTGCTTGTCAGAAGAATTTGAACCTGTTCTCACAGCATTGTAACCTGCATGTCCTGAAGTCTTACCTGGGGAAAAGCCCTTTTGGCCAGAAAACTTGGTATTACCCGGAGACCTAACAGAACTTTTGTGAGTCAAACAATAATCATCTGCCAACATCGCTGCCTCTTGTAAGTTCATCCAAATAAGTCTTGACCCACACCACCTATCAAACAAAGTTTCCTTTTCTCTAGCAAATTTTACAAAGGTCTCATTGTCCCTTTTATGAGCATTTCTGAATTTCTGACGATATGGGACAGGCACTAACTCATAAGTTTTTATAAGTGTCCTTTTGACAAGGTCATAGGCTGAGCTTTGCTGTATCGACAAGGCCGAATAAGCATCCTGAGCTCTACCCTTCAAAACAGTTTGCAGTAGCATAGTAAATGACATCCTAGGCCACTTGAGGTTTTCAGCAACTTTTTCAAAATGTAGAAAGTATTTGTCTACTTCTTTCTCATTAAAAGGGGGTACCAGTCTGGCATGCCTTGCAATGTCAAAAGAGGAAGTATTTGAGGGAGGAGAAGAAGTTTCTAGCCTTTTCAGTTCAATTTCTCTGTCAATTCCCAGTTTTTCTCAGTTCTATTTCTTGCCTTTTATTTCTTCCTGTTTTCTATTTTCTTCTTTTAAATTTGTAACTGAATTTCAAGTTTTTCATTTCCAATTGGTCCGAACATTCCTCTTCAACCATTTCCAAAACGTCATGTCCAAAAACTCCCTCATCAATATAGTGATTCAACACAATTTTCAAAATCTGAAATTTCCTCATAGCAGGTTTCGCCTCAAGTTTAAAATGTGAAGAAATTTGCAATAAATCTGATTTGCGCGATTCACTGACTGTCTCAGGGTCAGGAAACTTCCAAGGTTTAAACACCCACTTTGCTGGTTTCACCATTAACTTGTTGCAAAATTGCCGAAATTTGAAATAAATTTCACAATAAGTCTCAAATGTCAAATGAATTCTATCCCGGACGAGCCCCAATTTGGTTACGGTTAATAATTTGCCGTGACAACAGGTTTAAGAATCCCCTGTGAACCAGCAAAATATAACACAGACAAGTCTAAAATATCCAATAATATATTTAATAAACAATGAGCAAACTACAATGAATGACAATAGAGATATCTAGTACAATGCTTTTGAGTCACAGATCTAAAATATTGGGTCACAACTCACCAGACATTTACAGTGAGAGCAGATATACTGATTGAAGGTTGTTTACAATGACAACAGTTGACTAGGCAAGCACGGTCATTCTTGAAATGTTGAGCAAACTCGACCATGGCAGACAGATATAAGTATAACTCAAGTGATGTGATAAGTCCCGCGCCGCACAACTCAACAACCAACAAATTGCCAACGGAGGCAACTCTGAAGTGCTATCAAAAAGGCGTGACGCTAAAAATACTATTGCCATTGAACATATATCATGCGAGATGCCAGCCAAAACCCACACTCAAAACTTTGAACATGGTGACCCATAATAACTATATCACTTATCAATAATATTACAAATTACAAAAACCCACTCTCATAACAGAACAGTTACTAATATCGGTATAGAACCCAACACACCCACCTAAACCTGACATTTTAATGTCCCTTCATTCTAATCTTTTGCAGCAGTAACAATTTTCAAATTACACCAGTCCCTAACATGTTGGGTTTGCCATTATATGAACAATCATGTCACCCCTGACGTTTGTGAACCAATACATAGCCACGGAAAGTTAGAAAGAATGTGCCCAAGAGGGGATAAACCATATCAGCCTTAGAAAGTGCAAATATTTCGTTTGTCTTCATGGGTTTGTATATGTCTGCTAACAATATGCCTTTCAGTTACCAACATCGCGTTCACTTTGATCAGTGTCGGACATATTCGCCTTCAGCATGCCAAATGATTGCTACTCATCATGTCAATGACTGTATATTGGTTGGTCCAGACGCGACTATTTATTTACAGACCCGCATGTATCTGAAATAATGCTTGGTGAGATGTTAAGCAACAGCCAACAAACCATATATTATACACTCTTTATGTTTTCAAATTTCCTTTATTTTAACATCACCCATCACCTCTGAAGATCGACATATTCTGCAGGTCCGCGTGAAGCAGCGTGGTCTGGTAGTTAGCCGGTGTCTGCAGCAGGGGGCGTGTGAAACACTTGCAATAACACTATAAACACCAAGGTGCTGACTGCAAGGGCCATAGGTTGATTACACGCACCTGGGAATAACCACGGTGTTGTATCTTGTTGTAACGTTCTTATATGGGGTATAGATGTACATGTGTGGCTGTAGGTTGGAAGTTTAGACATTTCAGTTTGAGGGAGACAGAGTTTGGGGAATATTCTCGTAGTGTTGACTGGCAGTAAATCGGGTGGCCACGTTCACCGACTTGGTTGATGCATGTCATCGTGACCCACTTACCTAGATCGATGCACATGATTTCAAGCACTAGATTATCAGGTCCAGATAATTTACAGACCGCTGTCAGGTAGTTCGAATATTGCTGATCGAGTGCGGAACAGCAAATAACAAGATCAAGGCTTTGTCATACTCAATAGCTAACTGAGTATACTGAGCTAAATCTTTCCTGTTCATCAGAACATGCCACAATGAAGAATCTCCGGCTTGCACTACATCTGAATAAATACTCAATACATATTACTTGTGGAAGTTTCTTTTATTCCCAAAGCAAACTTTCTTGGTCAATGGCTTCCACTGTGTTCCATGTTCAGCTGAGAAAGAAGAGAACAGTAAGGTAAATGACCTGCACACTTTGTTAAATGCACATGTAGAACTCACTGGCAAGTATCAAGTCTTTGAATGGATACACTTAAGTCCTCTGTATAACATGAAACCCTCCTTTGTGTGATATGAGACCCACGTGCTCTAATGATACAATATTATCCCATTCTTTTGACGAGACATGAACGATGGCAGGATTAGATGGACATTATACCTATAAATTCTACAATGTATTTATTTATCTTGAGATTTCCACTATAATGTTTACCGTGATGTGTCCAACAACATGGCGCCGTTAACGTTAGCAAGTTTTAACTATTTGATCAAAGTTACTTTTTACAAACGCAGTGTCCGAGAAGGTCTCCGGTTTTTTGACAATCTGTCGTGCCCTTACATCCGGGGCACTCGATGTCACAGATCCGGTCCTGCACACAAATGTCGAATCGCCCACAACTTTGGGCATCTGCAAAGTCCAGTATATCGACGTTAGTACACACTGAAGGATTCATGTATGATATAGGTCTGTGTGGCAACACAAGTTAGACGTTCTGTATTTAAAGAGTGGTAAATACTTCATACAAAGGTTCCGTGTCGGACGTGGGACGCGAGTCGTCATGAGAGTAAACTACCTTGGCAGTGGCACACACATTCTACCGAATGATCCATCCGAGCCAGTACCTTGCCTGCTTTAATTTGGTGAACATCAAGTATCTCTTGTGCAAGAAATGTTCAAGTCAACATTGACCTTACACACAAAACGACTAACATATGCTAATATACGAATCGTTCATTTGAATTAAGGTTTGTAGTTTTACCAAATACCAGTGTCAATTGGACAGTGTCACTGGTTGTATGGCTGGTTGTAGGAAGGATGTATCACTGGTTGTAGGAAGGTTGTATGAAATACTCACCAACAGCCGCCAGAAGCAGCACTGAAGCAAAGACGAGGAATAGAACTGCTCTCATGTTGTCTGCAAGTGAAAGTGTCCAGCAGGCTGTCGTCAAACCTTTTAACTATCTGCACAGACCAATCCTTTTCTCAGAACATGCTTAAAATTGCAGAGATACACCCCTTAAGGTCAACTTCATGCTACTGTTCTGACCTCAACTTTATATCAGTGTGCACAATTTGATTTAAACTCAAAACAAAAGAAGAAATACATATTCTTCACACTGTCCCATGACACGTCAATCGTGTAGAACATGGTATCTCCTCTCGGTAGGAATATTTTTGCTATGTTCAGGAGCACAATACACAACATGTGGATCTCAGCTATGCGGGATTAGTTGAGGGACAGGCAGGGGGTAATGGCGATCTGGGTGACGCAGAATCTGTTCGGGACAGGCAAGGGGGTAATGGCGATCTGGGTGACTCAGAATCTGTTCGGGACAGGCAAGGGGGTAATGGCGATCTGGGTGATGCAGAATCTGTTCAGGGACACGCAAGGGGGTAATGGCGATCTAGGTGACGGAGAATCTGTTCGGGGACAGGCAAGGGGGTAATGGCGAAATGGGTGACGCAGAATCTGTTCGGGGACAGGCAGGGGGGTAATGACGATCTGGGTGACGCAGAATCTGTTCGGGGACAGGCGAGGGGGTAATGACGATCGATGTGGCCCAGAATCTGTTTAGGGACAGGCATGGGCTCATATTGATCGGTGTGGCCCAGACTCTGTTCAGGGACAGGCATGGGGTCATATTGATCGGTGTGGCCCAGAATCTCTTTAGGGACAGGCATGGGGTCATATTGATCGGTGTGGCCCAGACTCTGTTCAGGGACAGGCATGGGGTCATATTGATCAGTGTGGCCCAGACTCTGTTCAGGGACAGGCATGGGGTCATATTGATCGGTGAGGCCAAGAATCTGTTTAGGGACAGGCATAGGGTCATATTGATCGGTGTGGCCCAGACTCTGTTCAGGGACAAGCATGGGGTCATATTGATCGGTGTGGCCCAGAATCTGTTCAGGGACAGGCATGGGGTCATATTGATCGGTTTGGCCAAGAATCTGTTTAGGGACAGGCATGGGGTCATATTGATCGGTGTGGCCCAGAATCTGTTCAGGGACAGGCATGGGGTCATATTGATCGGTGTGGCCCAGAGTCTGTTCAGGGACAGGCATGGGGTAATGGTAATCTCTGTAGGCCAGAAACATTTTCAGATCTTCCTCGTCACCAATTACAGGTAATGATGTGTGCCTGGTGTGGATATTGGCAGCAATGTTTGTGTCGTGTAGACTGGCTTTAGTTGTATTGTGTACCGATGCGCGACTGGGATACGCGCCATCTGCAGCTACAATCACACGTTTTCGTTTTGTCTTATCTAGAATATACAGACTTCGTGACAGACAAACGGATGACACCTTTTCATGTTATGTAAATGTTCAGTAAAATATATCTGGTTTGTTTTGTGACCCAAGGTGTTTTATCTTACCGATAATGGCGGCTTCGTGCTGAAACTATAATAGCTGAAGGCAAAACTACATTTTATTACGGTACAGAAGGGGATAGAAGAAACTTTGATTCTAAACTTCGTCATCATTCAATTCACACTGTATGAACAGTATAAGTGATGAAACAGAATTACATTTAATCAAGAGGAATAAATCATTTAAAGTCACGATCGTAATATTACGATTCTAAAACCTTGAATTATAAATGTCTCGCAACATCTTAACATACTTTAATCAATCCTGTAAAACGAGAAAAGGGTGGACAATTTCTTGAATAACACCGATTTTCAATGTACTGTGGTAGGGTAGCGTTACAGGACGAGATGCTATCGAGGGTTATGTACGTAAGTAGTGTATATCTGATCATTAGAACCCTCTCACGGCGTCTCCCATGACTTTAAAAATCCGTGGAATGTAGGCCAGACTGAAACAATCCCTCGTTGGCGATTTAGACCATAACGTGTTAACCACTCCCCCTCCCATTACTTTGTTTGTTTGTGATTATACCTGATTAGGTATCACCTCCGTTGGGGGATGATGGTGAAATCAACATCCAATGACTGAAACTGGGATTCTGAAATAGTGCCTGACGACCGGTTGTGAGAAATCCTTGACAAATAACGTTATGTTTAGACCGTTTTATCTCTGATACTGCAATCTGATGTGTCACTCCTTTGTGAAAGGTTATTATTCACTTGAAAAATGGTATTTCATAACTGAAGGTCGTCCAATACGCGAGGCTATTGTTAAGGACGATGTTGTCTGAAGGGTTTACAAGAAGATCTAGGTTTAATGCTACAGGATTGATGATAAGCTCTGTCACAACCAGACCCAGTTTTACTGGTCCATTCTATCTGTGCGACATATGAAGGAGTTGTACAGTTACTAATACATCGGTATAAAACCCAACACACCTACCTAAACCTGACATTTTAATGTCCCTTCATTCTAATCTTTTGCAGCAGTAACAATTTTCAAATTACACCAGTCCCTAACATGTTGGGTTTGCCATTATATGAACAATCATGTCACCCCTGACGTTTGTGAAGCAATACATAGCCACGGAAAGTTAAAAAGAGTGTGCCCAAGAGGGGATAAACCATATCAGCCTTAGAAAGTGCAAATATTTCGTTTGTCTTCATGGGTTTGTATATGTCTGCTAACAATATGCCTTTCAGTTACCAACATCGCGTTCACTTTGCTCAGTGTCGGACATATTCGCCTTCAGCATGCCAAATGATTGCTACTCATCATGTCAATGACTGTATATTGGTTGGTCCAGACGCGACTATTTATTTACAGACCAGCATGTATCTGAAATAATGCTTGGTGAGATGTTAAGCAACAGCCAACAAACCATATATTATACACTCTTTATGTTTTCAAATTTCCTTTATTTTAACATCACCCATCACCTCTGAAGATCGACATATTCTGCAGAGACCGTATAATAGGTTTCTTGGTATGGAGCACCTGCAGGTACGCGTGAAGCAGTGTGGTCTGGTAGTTAGCCGGTGTCTGCAGCAGGGGGCATGTGAAACACATGCAATAACACTATAAAACCCATGGGCCATGGGTTGATTACACGCACCTGGGAATAACCACGGTGGTGTATCTTGTTGTAACAGACAGACAGACAGACAGATTTATTCAGTAATATTGGCCAACTGGCTCATGTTACAATTGTTGTTACAACAATTTTGTTGTCACGTCGTAAGAAAATAGAAAAGCTATATTTAAGCACTGTTTCAAACATTTTTGGAGAAGACACATTTCAGAAATGTTGCTATTGCTTTAACGGTATGTCTATTTTGTGAATTAAATATATTTATCATTTGGGATTTACATACATATTTGCCATCGAGAAATCTTAAATACTTTATTCTCAAATCATTAAATTCTGGACATTGTAGTAAAAATATGAAATTCATCCTGGACTTGTCCGCTGTTACAATGGTTACATAAAGTGTGCTGTCTTTCAGCATCCTTATTTCGTCTGGTTGCATTTACATTCAAATTATGTAGAGAAATTCGAATTTACAAAATACCTTCAGTAATGTCTTATCATGAAACAGGTATGTAATATACGCTTCAGGGTAAAATCCTAATTTTACAAGACTATAATTTCTCAAAAAATGTGAAGCTTGTACATTTCCTTGCCAATTTTGGACATAAATATCAACTAATCTTTGCTTGAGCACATACAAGAACAATTTTTCATCCCCAACATTTTGGTGTAACCATACGTGTGAATACCAACAGGCAAACAGTAAGAGACGGATATCTGAAACCCAGTTCATATTACCTTTGTCATCCAGTTCTTTCAACATGTTATAACATTGATGTGGATATCTGTTTACACCCATTCTAAACAATTTAATCCAATATTTAACAGCTCTGTGTCTACTTAAAACAAACATATTGATACGACCAATTTCGCCTAATATTGCCTTATTCGATGCGAATTTCCTAACACACAAGAAACGTTTGAAATAGAATGTTTGCACCTTTTCGATACAGTCATGATATTTAAGGCCCCATATTTTCCGATGCATACAACAAAATAGGTGCAATTTTTACCATCGAAGATATTACATGCTGTCGAAAAAGACAAGAACTTGTTGTTATGGAACAGTCTGTATACAGGGAAAAGAGCTTTAGAAGCCTGCAATGCAAGAGTACGACAAACTGTTGATCAAATCAGCCTGGATGAGAAAATGATGCCTAAATATTTATAATACGATACAATTTTTAATTTTACACTACCAAATGTCCATTGTTCATTTTTGGCAACTATTCCCTCTTTTCTGAATACGACTACATTTGTCTTATCCAAACTTAATTGAAGTCCCCATTTTAAACAAAATGAAAGCAGGACATCTAATTGCTTTTGCAAATTTACGACAGTATAGGAGAATAGAACGACATCATCGGCAAACAGAAGCAGCATAATATCAATTATATCCTGAGATACAAATATACCTTGGGAACATTTTTCATACAGTTCATGTACTAATTCATTTATAAAAAAATTTAAAATATGGGGCTGAGGATACAGCCTTGACGAACACCACTGGAGGTAAAAAATGACTGTGTTTGGCAAGTTCCAATCTTGACAGAAGCTTTAACAGATGTATACATAATTTCCCAAATCCGGAACATTTTGCCATGGCAACCTTTACTTAATAACAAGTACAATAACTTTTTCCTGTTCATATAATCAAATGCTTTCTTGAAATCTACAAAAGCACAGTAAAAACGACCTTTCGGTTTAGACCAATATTTGGTACATAAAGCCTGCAAAATAAAAATATTATCAACTGTAGCATAATTCGGTAGGAATCCAGCTTGTGCTTCTGATAGTAAATTATTTATATCTATCCATGTCCTTAAACGCCGTTCTAGAATCAATGTAAAAAGTTTCCCAATACTGTCCAGTAGTGAAATACCTCTGTAATTTGATGGGTTATAACGTTGTTATATGAGGGATAGGTTTACATGTGTGGCTGTAGTTTGGAAGTTTAGACATTTCTGTTTGAGGGAGACAGAGTTTGTGGAATATATTCTCCTGGTGTTGACTGGCAGTAATCGGATGGCTACACTCACCGACTT